GATGGACTCGTCCGTCTGAACAAAGCTCGTCGCTTTCCGTGGTGCTAACGTTGAAAAGAAAAAACCGCCACCCTTTTTTTTCGACGTAGAATTGTAATGTATAACGACTTATTGTTAGTAGCTCAGCTGATTGGAGAGTATATTGAGTTTATTGATAACATTGATGTAGTTTATATTTTTAGTGTTTTTTTCAGTTTACTATATGGTATTCATTATATACTGTAGTGTATACCCAGTTACTTTATGTTAATAGCTCAAATTATTGAAAAATATATTGAGTACATTTATTATATTGATGTAGTTTATACTTAGTTCTTTCACATGGGCTTATTGTATGATAGTTGGGTATTTGCATTTCTTTAGCGTCAATATACTAAATGCCTCTGTTGATGTGTAAACTCTGACTTTAACATAGCTATTTCCGTGACCAGTTACATGCTAATCCCTCACATTAACATAATGCTAATCTCCCAGTTACATGCTAATTTCTGACTTTAACACCCTGCTAATCCAACACTTTAACACAGCTATTTCAAAGCTAAATTCTTCTGTTGATATGTAAACTCCTTTGTCAAGGCGCTCTGCTCCTCCCACCCAGCTTAAAAGACGCTGCCAAGCTTAGCAGTGTTCATTGAAGCGCTGTCGTCCCGACAGTTCTGTTCCTTCACCTGAAGAAGGCTACTTGTGTTGTGCCCGAAACGTCGTGAGAATTTTATTTTGTTTTATTTTCATTATTTTATTTCCATTCTACGTGACTTTACCAAAAGAACCAAGAAGATCTACTCAATACATTGGAGAATTCCCTCAAAAGCGCCCGCAACTCCTTCCTCTGAGTTTCTGACATATCTGGGTTTTCGGAGCAGAGCGGATCCCAACCACTTATCATCGCTATGCCGCTACAGCTCCGTAACTGACACGGCCTCCACTCCACCAACGATGTTCCTCTTGCGAAGTGCGAGTGACACGTGGGCTAGCATGGTACCCCGCTGTATAATCGACGTGTCGAGCCCCGCGTTGAGGACCTGAATGAACAGTTCTTGGTTATTGGACACCAAAGTCTGGGCCCCAACTAACTTCAATCCACGAACCGCTTTGTTTGAGGGTCCGAGTAGGATTCCTCCCGCAGTTGCCTCCTGGTAAAGCGGTTTCCGCAACCGCAAGGGAACTAGCATTTGTGCACCGGGAGGAATCTTTACAGTTTTGCTTGCAAGAGCTTGTACAGTAGTGTTGGCCGTGCACAATCGAGTGGGAGAAGGCAAAAAGGCCATGCGACGGTTCGATGGCACCTCGAGACATGCCTGGTCTATACAAATTTTCAGGGGCATCTTCCCCAAGAAATCAGTCCCTAGCAAGCAGGGAACAGCAAGGGATGTGGAAACAAGAACTGGTCCCGTCAATTTGATATCACCAATGCACACTTCTGTTGTTATCTGACCAATAATGCCCAATGAGCCGTCATTCGCAGCAAAGCACGGAATCCCGATGGGACACAGGGTACGACACTTTCGTGGCAAAATATTGTAAATTAATTTGGAAATGATGGCAGCGGACGCACCGGTATCGACGAGCATCCTAATTTCTATCCCCTGTATCATACCTATATCAGCAGATGATCCCACTGCCATGGCAACAACCCGATGAGCCAGTTCCGACCATTGAACTGGTCAGAGTGGTCATCCGACCCCTGCCAAATCCGAACCCTCATGCCCCATAACACGACGGGAATGAAAAACGTCCGAACGCGATGAGTGAGGTGGATGCAAGGGCTGAGTGTGCTGTGACTCACCTTGGGACCTAGTGGAGTTGAGGACAATGGGGACGATGACGGTAGCGGTTCAGGGAGTCATCGTCGAGTCATCATCGTGGGGCGCGGCAACTCGACGAGACATGTCCCGGCAGGCTGCAGTTGTAGCATACGACGGGGAAGCTCCCCGCCATCAGTCTTGTTCTTCCTGTCGCTCCATGTTGCCTCCCCGCCAGCCTCCACAGTGGACCGAAGCACAGGTTTAGACAGGCTCCGCATCTTCGGGTGCACCATACATCTCAAGAGGCATGGTGCATGCCACCAACCCCGTATGCTGTTTCAAAAGCAGGTGCACCTGAATGCACCTCGCAACTTTGAGGGACGACAAATCGTCCTCCTCCATAGCTGGCAGGATGATGTTGAGATCCTTCGCCAGCATCAACAACCTTTCAAGGACCAGCGAGTCGACTCCATCGTGGTCCATCTTCGGAAAGGCCGCCTTCGCCAGCGCCAACACCGCACTGTGGAAGGCAAGGGGCGTCTCGGCCTCCCCCCTCCTCCGCGCAGCGAACTTGTGGTGAACATTTGACTGGGTCGTCGATCGCCGCCATCTGCACAAAGGCTTGCAGAAGCGTGGCCCTCTCTGCTATCGGAATGGCGCGGAACGCTACTAAGGTGTCGTCGTCAAGGGCGGCGGGAAGCGCTCAGCACCTCTGCCTCCGTCCATCCCGCCAAGTCACAATTCATCATGAAGCGACGCTTGAAGACCACCCAATCGCCTCCCGCAGCTGTGAATTCCTTCACAAAAGGTAGACGGCATCTGAGTGATGGGATCTCGATAGGCGGTTCTGGCGGGCTTTCAGATTTGGCGGGCTCTCCTTCCCGCCAGACGAGTAAAATGGTGGTCGCGTGTGCGGGCTGTGCGACCAAACCCTCCCGCACGCGGGAATCAGCGGCGGAGGACTTGGCTCCGCGCAGCTCCGGTGCTCTCTCCACCGCCAGCTCTTCTCGGTCAAGCTTGGCGACCATCGCAGCAAAGGCCTCGAGAAGTTCGCCGAGGCGGGCGTGGAACGATCAGCGCTCTCTCCCCGCAGGCGGCGAGGCGTCGCTGTGATGGTCGTCGCGCTGCTCCGCCGGCGGTGCCTCGCTCACATTTTCCGGGGTCGCCATCCCCGGGGCTATCTGGGGAATAATTCCCTCATCGTCTTCGTTGTCAGACAATGTCCTGGTAGGTTGCCTTCGCCGCGTAAACATTTTATATAACTAGGTGGTCTGGTCACACGGCAAAGATACATTGAACACATTTCTAAATCATCTCAACTCGCAAAACCCATCCATCCAGTTCACCATGGCAGTGGAAGCTGACAGAACTCTACCATTTATGGATATTCTGTTCGGATGGGGTAGAAATGGTATAATAATACGCAGTGATTACCGAAAGAAAACGTATACTGACGCCTATCTGAATGCAGAGTCACACCATCACCCGGCACAGAAATATGCTCTTATCAAGACGCTCATTCATCGAGCTAAGAAAGTGTCAGATGGTGACAGTCTGAGAAGTAAAATTCAACATGTTAAAGAAGCACTGCAAATGAACGGTAACAATGATGCACAAATCAACAGGGCATTGAATACCAAAACAAAATCAAATAACAAGAGCATTGAAACTGCCCAAGTAATTAAAACGATCAAAATACCGTACATTGCGAGAGTAACTGATAAACTAGCCAGATGTTTGGAAAAACAAAACATCCGAGTCAGATTAGGCACAATATATAAAATACAGAATTTAATATCTGGTACAAAAGATGTATTACCGAAGCTATCAAAAGAAGGTGTGTGCAGGATTAACTGCACATGAGGTAAATGTTATGTTGGGCAAACAGGATGAATGATCTGCACGAGACTAAAAGAACATCAGAGAAATATTAAATTATCTCAAATGCAACTGCCAGCAGTAGCAAGACACGCGTGCCAACAAGAACAATCATTTTGATTTAAAGCTTTCGTGACTGCAGTAATTCATATTCTTAGTTTTTTCGGTAAAGTCACGTTGAAGAGAAACAACAAAATAACAAAATATATATAAAACAATAAAACATTCTCACGACGTTTCGACCATAACTCAAACGGTCATCATCAGGTGTGTTGTTTCTCTTCAACGTGACTTTACCGAAAAAACTAAGAATAAGAACAATCATTTTTTATAATGTTAAAGTTTTGTGCAAAACCAGCTACTACTGGCCAAGAATAATTAGATAATCATGCGAAATTGAAAGAAATCAAAGTAACTTTAACTGTTCGGATAGCTACCGTCTTCGTGCTGCGTGGAAGCGAATAATCAAATAATACATTATTTAAATGTATGCCTACAAAAGGGCAGCGTACTTAAATAGGGATTAGCGTTGGTAGGGCTATTTTAATAAACAAAATTGACAGGAAGAACACGTTCAAAAGGCTGGCATAATCAACATGCATAATGTACATTGCCTCAGTAATCCCCCCCCCCCCCAAATTGTGCATTAGCGCAGAAGGGTGGTCAACACATCTACGCCTCTATATAAGGAACGAAAGAGTAAGACTTCTTCACAAATCTGGCTGTCGCCTGATGAAGCTAGTTGTAATTACTGGCGAAACGTCGTACTCAGTTTGTAAATGTTGTGGCTTGGCTCTCCAACACACCGACGTGCTGTACTCGTGACGAATTGGCATGTTCTGTTTACGTAACAACCCTTACTAGTTCGCTCTGTCGGGTGGTGGCGGTTTTAACGACACATTTATATATTTACCCGATCTAACCCAAAAAAACATCTATTAGGTATCATATTGGTCGCGAAAGCCTACGTGTTAAACTCACACAGAGAGCCATACTCAAAGATACCCATAGACTCGCAGAGACCAACGACTCACACAGACCCACAGACTCGCACAACGAACCGCAGACTGACACAGAGCTCATAGAATCACACAGAGACTATAGACGCACTATACAAAGATCCATAGACTCAAATAGAGACCCACGGATTCACATCCACCGTGCGTCTGGCACAGAAACCCACAGTCTCACACAGACCCAGATTCACACACACATACCCGCAGACTCACACAAAGACCTATAGACTCACCACACAGAGACCCATGAATGCGCAGAGAACCATACACTCACATAGAGAACCATAGACTCATACAGAGACCCATAGACTCACACACAAACCCACAGAATCACCACATATACACACACTCACTGACTTACCTCCACCGTACGTCTGGCACAGGTATGGGAATCTCCAGACGTTGCCAAGACCAACCGCAAAGCCGACACAGCTGAGGAGATAGTCAGCCTTGGTCCCCCACTGCGCCCTCTCACGGCCGCCTTTGTTTTCATTCATCCTCACCCTGCTGTATCGGGGTTTTTTTTCACACAAACTATGTCATAGGAACGAAACAAAATCGTTCATAAATGAGGTAATAATCGTGTGTACAATGGTACCAATCACTGAAATACTAACTCATAAACTCACTCATACACTCACACGCTCATACATTCACTCAAATACTCACTCATGCACTGACTCATGCACTCACTCAAGTACTCACTTATACACTCAATCAAATACTTACTTGGTTTAAAAATAACGGTGTCCTGACCTTTGGGTCACCCAGTATAATAACCCGATGTGTCCTGACTTTTATGTCTCCCTGTATAATAACCCGATGTGTCCTATTAGGCCACCTGTATAATAAACCTATGTCAACTGACTTTTAGGCCACCTATATAATAACCCTATGTGTCCTGAATTTTAGGTCACCCTGAATAATTAACATGTGTCTTGAATTTTGGGCCACCCTGTATAATAACTATATGTGTCCTGACTTTTCGGCCACAATGTAAAATAATAACCATGTTTCCTGACTTTTTGCCACAATGTAAAATAATAACCCTATGTGTTTAAACTTTTGGGCCACCCTGTATAATAACACTATTTATCCTGACTTTTGGGCCACCCTGTATAATAACACTATGTATCCTGACTTTTAGGCCACCTGTATTATAACCATATGTGTCCTGAGTTTTATGCCACACTGTATAATGAACATGTGTTTTGAATGTTGGGCTACCTTGTATAATAACTCTTTTGTTTCATTAATTGTAGGCCACCTGTATACTAATATTATGTATTCTGAATTTTAGGCCACCCTTTAATATAACCCTATCTATCCTGACCTTTGGTCCACCCTGGATAATAATCCTACGTGTCCTGACTTCAGGACCTCCCTGTATAATAACTCTGTGTTTCCTGGTATTGGGCCACCTGTATAATAACCCTTTGTGTCCTGAATTTTGGGCTACCCTGTAAAATAACTGTATGTTCTGACTTTTAGAACACCCTGTGTAATTAACCTGTTTCTTGAATTGTGGGCCACCAAGTACAATAACTGTGTCCTGACTTATAGGCCACCTGTATAATAATCCTGTGTACTGATTTTTAGGCCACCTGAATAACCTTATGTGTCCTGACTTTTGGACCACCGTGTATAATGACCATATGCATCCTGACTTTTATGCCACCTGTATAATAACCCTATGTGTCTGCGTTTTAGGCCACCATGCATAATGAACCTGTGTTTTGACTGTTGGTCCACCCTGGATAATAACTCTATTTTTCATTAATTGTAGGCCACCTGTATACTAATCCTATGTGTCCTGACGCATAGGCCACCATGTAAAATAACCCTATGTATTATGACATTAGTTCCACCCTGGATAATAACCTCACATGTCCTGACTTCAGGAACTCCCTATATAATAACTCTATATTTCCTGGTATTGAGCCACCTTGTATAATAAACCTAAGCATCCTGGCTTTTATGCCACCTGAATAAAAACCCTATGTGTTCTGACTTTAGGCCACCCTGTATAATGAACCTATGTCTTGACGTTGGGCCACCCAGTACAATGACCCTATGTGTCCTGAATTATAGGTCACCCTGTATCATGAACCTGTTTCTTGAATTGTGAGCCACCCTGAAGAATAGCCCGATGTGTCCTGACCTTTTGGCCACAATGTAAAATAATAACCCTTTGTGTTTAAACTTTTGGGCCATCCTTATAAAAACCCTATGTGTCCCGATTTTTGGGCCACTGTGCAAAATAACCCTGTGTTCATTACTTGTAGGCCAGCTTTTTAATAACCCCATGTGTCCTGACTTTTGGGAAACCCTGTAAAATAACCCTATGTGTACTGAATTTTAGGCGATCTGAATAAAAACGTCGGGCTAAAACAGTGTCAGATGGTGAGAGTCTAGTGAGAGAGATTAAACACGTTAAAGACGTACTACGACAGAATGGCTACAATAATGCTCAAATTAACAGAGCACTGAATGCCAAATCACGATCGCAAAGCAATACTGCTGAAAGCGACCAGATTGTTAAAACAATAAAAATTCCATATATCTCAGGAGTAACTGACAAATTAGCCCGTGTTTTGCAAAAGCAAAACATTACAGTAAGATTTGGTACAGTACACACAATTCAAAAACTAGTATCTTGCACTAAAGACGCATTACCTAAACTATCAACAGAAGGTGTATATCGGATTAACTGTTCATGTGGCAGCTGCTACATTGGGCAGACGGGACGTAACATCAGCGTAAGACTAAAAGAACATCAGAGAAATATTTAATTATCTCAAACACAACTGTCGGCAGTGGCAGAACATGCTTGTCAACAAGGATACTCAATTGATTTTGACAATGTTGCAGTGGTGTGTAAAACTAATTATTACTGGCAAAGACTAATTAGAGAATCCATTGAAATTGAGAGGAACAAGAATAACTTTAATCGCTCTGACAGCTACCGGCTTAGTGCGGCCTGGAAGCGTATTATTAAATAATACACATTACATTTTGATTTAAAGAATTACTAATCTACAACTCATTACTAATCATAACCAATGACTGATTACTAATCGATTATATAATTACAATACCCCCCCTCCGCCTCTAATCACTGTACCTGATATGAGTTAAGTGATGACGTCACCCTGCTGCTCTATATAAAACCGGGAGCAAGCGAGGGCTTTACCATTCTGGCGAATTGCCCGATGATGCTGGATGTATTTACCAGCGAAACGTCGTACTCAAACTGTAAATGTGGATTCACTCTTCAACACACCGGTGGGCTAAAGTAGTGAATTATTTGTCTTTTGTCAACGTGACACTTTTTTTGCTGATTGGCCGTGTCGGGTGGTGGAGGGTTACGACACATTTATAAATAAACGCGATCTAACCCAAAAACCTTTATTATGAATAACCCTATGTATCCTGACATTTGTTCCACCCTGGATAATAACCTCACGTGTCCTGACTTCAGGAACTCCCTATATAATAACTCTATATTTCCTGGTATTGAACCACCTTGTATAATAAACCTAAGCATCCTGACTTTCATGCCACCTGAATAAAAACCCTATTTGCTCTGACTTTAGGCCACCCTGTATAATGAACCTATGTCTTCACGTTGGACCACCCAGTACAATGACCCTATGTGTCCTGAATTTTAGGTCACCCTGTATAATGAACCTGTTTCTTGAATTGTGAGCCACCCTGTAAATAACCCGATGTGTCCTGACTTTTCGGCCACAATGTAAAATAATAACCCTTTGTGTTTTAACTTTTGGGCCATCCTTATAATAACCCTATGTGTCCCGATTTTTGGACAACTGTGCAAAATAACCCTGTGTTCATTACTTGTAGGCCAGCTTTTTAATAATCCTATGTGTCCTGACTTTTGGTCCACCCTGTATAATAACCCAATGTGTCCTGGCTTTTGGGCCACCCTGTATAATAACACTGTTTCCTGACTTTTAGGCCACCTGTATAATAACCCTATGTGTTTTGACTCTTATGCTATGTGTCCTGACTTTTCGGCCACAATGTAAAATGATAACCCTATGTGTCCTGACTTTTGGGACACCCTACATAACAATGACCCTATATGTCTTTACTTTTGGGCCACCCTCTATAAAAACCCTGTGTCCTGACTTTAGGACACCTTTATAATAACCCTATGTATTCTGACTTTGAGGCCACCAGTATACTCATCCTATGTTCTGAATTTTAGGCCACCCTGTAAAATAACCCTTCGTGTCCTGACTTTTAGGCCAACGTTTATGATGATCCTATATGTCCTTACTTTTGGGCCACCCTGTATAATGAACCTATGTCTTCACGTTGGACCACCCAGTACAATGACCCTATGTGTCCTGAATTTTAGGTCACCCTGTATAATGAACCAGTGCCTTGACGTTTGTGACACCCTTTATAATGACCCTAGGTGTCCTGACTTTTAGGCCAACCTATATAATGACCCTATATGTCCTGACATTTGTGCCACCCTGTATAATACCGCTATGTTTCCTGACTTTTAGGCCACCCTGTATAATAACCCAATGTGTCATGACTTTAGGCCACCCTTTACCCTATTTCTCCTGACTCTTTTGCCACCGTGTATTATAACCCTACATGTCTTGACTGCTGGGCCACTGTGTATAATAACCCTGTCCTAATTTTAGGCCATCCTGTATAACCCTATGTGTCCTGCCTATTAGGCCACCTGTACAATAACCGTAGGTGTCTTGACTTTTGGGCCACCCTGTATAATAACCTTATATTTCCTCACTTTTACACCACCCTGTATAATGAACCTGTTTCTTTAATTTTGGGCCACCCTGCACAATAACTACATGTATTCTGACTTTTAGGCCACGTGTATAATAATCATTTGTGTCCTGACTTTTGGGCCACCTTGTGTCATCAACCTAAGTGTCCTAATTTTAGACCACCTGTATAACAAAACTATGTATCCAGACTTTTGGGCCGCCCTGTATAATAATGACCCTATGTCTCTCGACTTTGAGCCACCCTGTATAATGACTCTATATGTCTTGACTTTGGGGCCACGCTGTATAATAAACCCTATGTGTTCTGACTTTAGGCCACCTTTATTATAACCTTGTGTCCTGACTTTTGACCCACCCTGTATAATAACCCTATGTGTCCTGACTTTTATGCCACCCTGTATAATAACCCTGTGTGTCCTGACTTTCAGGCCACCCTGTATAATAAACCTATGTGTCTTGAATTTTGGGCCACCCTGTATAATGACCCTATGTGTCACGACTTTTAGGCCACTTATTTAATAACCCTATGTGTCCTGACATTTAGGACACCTATATAATGACCCTATGTGTCGAAACCTTTGGGCAACCCTGCATCATAATGACCATGTGTCCTGACTCAGCACTGCCCATAGACTCAGCACTGACCATAGACTCAACACTCCCCCATATACTAACAATGACGCAGCACTCACCATAGACTCAACAAAGCATGTAGACTCAACATTGCCCACACACTCAACACTC